TTATTATGTTTAGGTATGTTCCTGTTATCCCTGACCTCTCCAAGACCTTTATCATGAAAGGGTGTTGAATTTTGTCGAAGGCTTTTTCTGCATCTAGGGAGATAATCATATGGTTTTTCTTTTTCTGTTTGTTTATATGGTGGATCACGTTGATAGATTTTCATATGTTAAACCATCCCTGCAATCCAGGAATGAAGCCTACTTGATCATGGTGGATGATTTCTCTGATGTATTTTTGAATTCGGTTTGCCAGTATTTTATTGAGTATTTTTGCATCGATGTTCATCAGGGATATTGATCTGTAGTTTTCTTTCTTAGTTGTGTCTTTGTGAGGTTTGGGTACCAAAGTTATTGTGGCCTCATAAAAAGAGTTTGGCAATAAACCTTCTATTTGTATCTTGTGGAACAGTTTGAGGAGTAGTGGTATTAGTTCTTCCTTGAATGTCTGGTAGAATTCTGCACTGAATCCATCTGGCCCTGGACTTTTTTTGGTTGGAAGGCTTTTGATGACTGCTTCTATTTCATTGTGGGTTATAGGTCTATTTAAGTTGTTTGTCTGTTCTTGATTTAATTTTTGACAAGTGATTGATAGTTATCCAGAAACTTGTCCATTTCCTTTGAATTTTCAATTTTTGTGGAATACAGATTTTCAAAGTATGACCTGAAAATTGTCTGGATTTCCTCTGTGTCTGTTGTTATGTTCCTCATTTCGTTTCTGATTTTGTTAATTTGCATGTTCTGTCTCTGCTTTTTCGTTAATTTGGATAAAGGTTTGTCTATCTTGTTGATTTTCTCAAAAAACCAACTCTTTGTTGTATTCATTTTTTGTATTGTTTTCCTGGTTTCTATTTTGTTGATTTCATCCCTCAAGTTGATTATTTCCTGGCGTGTACTCCTGCGGGGTTAATTTGCTTCTCTCTGTTCTAAGGTTTTCAGTTGGGCTGTTAATTCTTTTATGTGACTATACTCTGTTTTCTTCATATGGGCACTTAGTGCAATGAACTTCCCTCATAGCACTGCTTTCAAGGTGTCCCATAAGTAAGGGTATGTTGTATCCTAATTCTCGTTGAATATTAGAAAGTATTTAATTTCTTTCTTTATTTCTTCTTTGACCCAGGAGTGGTGCAATTGCACATTGTTCAGTTTCCATGAGTTTGCAGGTTTTCTGCTATTTGTGTTGTTGTTGAATTCCAATTTTAAGCATGGTGGTCTGATAAGAGACAGGGGACTATTCCTATTCTCTTGTATCTGTTGAGGTTTGTTATGTCTCCTAGTATGTGGTCGATTTTAGAGAAGGTTCCATTTGGAGCAGAGAAGAAGGTATATTCTTTTGTCTTTGGATGGAATGTTCTATAGATGTCTGTTAACCCCAGTTGAGACATAACTTCTGTTAATTCTTTTGTTTCTTTGTTGAGTTTCTGATTTGTGGTCCTGTCTAGTGTTGAGAATGGTATATTGAAGTCTCCCACTATAAGTGTATGAGGTTTTGTATGAGCTTTGAGTTTTAGTAGTGTTTCTTTTACGAATGTGGGTGACATTGTATTAGGGGCATAGATGTTCAGAATTGAGACTTTGTGTTGATGGATTTCTCCTGAGATGAGTATGAAATGACCGTCTTCATCTCCTTTGACTAATTTTGGTTTGAAGTCTAACTTGTTAGATATTAGGATAGCTACGCCTGCTTGCTTCTTATTTCCATTTGATTGGAAAATGTTTTCCCAACCCTTTACCCTGAGGTAATGTCTATCTTTGGTGCTAAGATATGTTTCTTGTATTCAGTAGAAGGATGGATTCTGTCTTCGTATCCATTCTGTTAGCCTGTGTCTTCTTAAAGGTGAGTTAAGACCATTAATATTGAGGGTGAGTAAGGTCCATTGATTGTTGATGCTTGTTTGATTTAGGTTTGTTGTTGGCAGTGGTATTGTGAACATATTAGTTCTGCTTCACCCTAGGTTTCTGGTGTAGTTGGATTATCTGTTGCCTACATTTTTGTGGGCGTAGTTACCTTCCTTGGGTTGGAGTTTCCCTTCCAATACTTTCTGTAGGGCTGGATTTGTAGATACATATTGGGAAAATCTGGTTTTGTCATTAAATATCTTGTTCTCTCCATCTATATTGATTGAGAGTTTTGCTGGATATAGTAGCCTAGGCTGGCATCCGTGTTCTCTTAATACTTTTAGAACATCTATCCAGGACCTTCTGGCCTTGAGGCTTTCCATGGAGAAGTCAGGTGTAATTTTGATAGGTCTGCCTTTATATGTTACCTGTCCTTTTTTCCTTCGCTGCTCTTAATATTCTTTCTTTATTCTGTATGCTAGGTGTTTTGATTATTATATGTCGAGGGGTCTTTTTTTCTTTGGTCCAGCCTATTTGGGGTTCGGTATGCTTCTTGTACTTTCATGGGCATGTCCTTCTTCAGATTTGGAAAGTTTTCCTCGATGATTTTGTTGAATATGTTTTAGGCACCTTTGAGCTGGGCTTCCTCACCTTCGTCTATGCCTATTACTCTTAGGTTTGGCCTTTTCATGGTGTCCCACATTTCCTGAATGTTTTGTATTAAGGATTTGTTGGATTTATGGTTTTCTTTGGTCGATGAATCTATTTCTTCTAGTTTATCTTCTGCGCCTGAGATTCTCTCTTCCATCTCTTGAATTCTATTGGTTATGCTTGTGTCCGTGGTTTCCGATTTTTTGCCCAGCTTTTCAATTTCCAGCCTTCCTTCCGTTTGTGTTGCCTTTATTTTCTCTATTTCAGTTTTCAAGTCTTGAACCATTTCCTTCACCTGGTTAATTGTTTTTTCTTTCCTTTCTGTACTTTCCTTAAGGAATTTGTTCATTTCTTCCACTTTTTTGTTTGTTTTTTCCTCCATTTCTTTAAGCAATTTTCTCACATCTTCTTTGAGGGCCTCTATCATTTTTATGATGGTGATTTTTAAGTCGTACCCTTCTGCTTCCTCTGCTTTATTGTTGTGTTCCATTCTAGTTGGTGTAGATTCCCTAGATTCTGGTGGTGTCATGTTTGTCTTTCTGTTGTTAGGTGTTCTCTTGTATTGCCTTCTTCCCATAGTTTCTTCCAGTAGGTGTTGGTGGTGTCTCTTCCCTCTCTCTATGGTACTTCCCCGATGGGCTTATGTGGATCTGAGATTCAATATCTGTAGCTCTGTGTGGTCCAAGCTCTATAGAAGGTTTCTCCGCAGACAGGTATCCAGGGATGGGGTCAAGGATGAGGATCCAGAAGAAGATACCAGCAGGTACTCTGGCCAATAGCTCTGGCCAATAGCTCTGGCCAATAGCTCTGGCCAATAGCTCTGGCCAATAGCCGGCAGAAGAGGACGAGGGCTGAGCTTGAACTTGAGAAGGTTTTGCAGGGTAGTGGTATCTCACTGGAAACTGGATCTCTCCTGCTGAGACTTCGTTCTTTGGCAGGGGCTCAGATTTGAGGGTCAAGGATCTTGCCCGCAGGAACTCCGAGTGGACCCACAGAGATAGGTGGATCTCTGGGAGGGGCCCGGGACTCCAGCAGAGGACTGGAGGAGGGGTCAGAGACCAAGCGGGTGGAAATTACAGGTGGTCCCGCGTGGATAGTCAGGTCTCCTTTGTTCGGAGTTGCTCTGAGAAATCTCCAAAGTGGGTGGACTGTTGACTCCACCCTCTGTCCCAGTGCTCAACCAGAGCGGCAGGACTATAGTTGGGGCAGGGCACAGGGTAGGGGGGTAGGCTGGAGGTGGGGATGGGTGGGGGTGTGTCAGAGCTCCAAGGGTGCTCTCGATGGGGACCGGAGACAGGAGCAGCAGGATCAGGGGCCAATCCAGGGAGTTCAGGCCTCCAGATTTCTTCTTGATAACAAAAATAGGATTATTCCAAGGAGAGTTGGATCCTTTCAAATGTCCCAAATCTAATTGCTCTTTTAGTAATTGATAAGCGGCCTCTAATTTCTCCTGTGAAAGTGGCCATTGAGATACCCATATTGCCACTTCAGTTATCCATGGTATGGACATCCTTTTCCCAACAGCCTCTAGGAAAAACCCAATCCTGCACGATCATTTTTTGAAATGACTTGAACTTAATGCCTTGATACTGCTTTCCTATCCCTAGCCCTGGTATATATCCCTTATCTAACATCATATTTTGTGCAGAGATGGAATATTCATTCATTAATTTTAATCCTAAAGCTTTTAAAATATCTCTTCCCCATAGATTTACTGGCAAGGGAAGAACATAGGGGGTAAACAACCCTGGCTGACCTTCTGGTTCCTTCCATCTTAGGGATTTAGAGCTGATAGCAGGAGTGGCTTCATACCCTAGTCCCTGCAATGAATGTTCTGATTGGGTTATTGGCCATTTTGAAGGCCACCAGGAGGTGGAAATGATGCTTTTATCAGCTCCTGTGTCCAAAATTCCCTGAAAATTCTTTCCTTCTATATTTAATGTTAATGTTGGTCTGGTATCAAGATCAACTGCAAAATAAGCAGAATCAATCTTATCTGAGTGGCCAAATCCTTCTGCCCCTCTGTTTCGTTTAATGGCCCCAAAATCCTCATGACAACTAGGGAGAATAAGTAACTGTGCTATGCAATCACCCGAGGAGATGGGAAAAATCCTGAGTGGCGATGAGCACATGATCTTGAGTTGTCTCTCATAATCTTGATTTATAACTCCAGGATGGACAATTAAACCTTTTATGGTGGTAGATGACCTTCCTAGTAATAGTCCTACTGTGTTTTTTGGCAGAGGGCCTGAAAAATAAGAAGGAACAGATTGTACACCCATTTGGGGGGGTCAAGACAATTCTAGTGGTGGCACGGAGGTCCAATCCTGCAGAACCTACAATGGTTCTCCATGGGGCTTCCTCCTTTCTAGGCTCAGGGGGAGCTCATTGCCCCATATATTTGAGGGGCATGAGGGCGGGGGACCCACAGGGTGTTTTGTGGCTCAGGCAATGGTTTACCATTAACGTCTTTGACTGGTTTACATTCATTTTCCCAGTGTTTGCTTTTTACATCAGGGACAGATTCCTGGCATCCTCTTAGGTCCTGACATGCACTCCCTACAATTCTTTTGTATATGTCCCATTTTGCCACATTGAAAACAAGTCTTGTTCTTGTCCGCCATATTGCCCTTTCTTTGTCCTTGTAAAATGGCGGCCACCAGTCCTGCATTGGTCAAAGGACCTCCTATTTCTCTACAAGCATTAAGCCAAGCTTGTAAGCCTTTTCCTTTCCAATGAGTTATGGCTTGTCTACATTCCTTGGTGCATTGTTCATAAACTAGTTGTTCTATTAAGGGCATAGCCTGTTCTTGATCTCCAAAACTCCTTCCTGCGGCCTCCATCATACATGCTACAAAGTCTGAAAATGGTTCATTTGGTCTCTGAATGACTTTTGTAAGGTTCCCTGATACTTCCCCTCTATTAGGAAGTGCCTTCCAGGCCTTAACAGCACATGTGTTAATCTGAACATAGACCTCTAAAGGATACACTGTCTGATTATTTGTCCATTGGCCTTGTCCAGTGAGCATTTCAAATGTCCAAGCGGGCTGCCCCGCTGATGCGTTAGCGCAGGCTTGTGACTGACTCAAATCATGCCATATGGCCTTCCACTCTAAGTATTGTCCCATAGTGAGACAAGCCTTCACAACGAACATCCAGTCCAAGGGAGTCATAACATCCAGTCCAAGGGAGTCATGGCCACCATGGACAGTCTTTCTATTTGTGACAGAGTGTAGTTCGTGCTGATACCATAAGTTCGAACAGACTCTACCAATTCTTTAACCTGTTTATGCTCAAGAGGGTGATGGGTACGATTCCCATCTTCCTTGAACACAGGAAACATCCAGGTTCTCTCATGTCTGGTTTCAGGAGAGCAAAAGGAGTATTTACATTCCTTCTCTGCATAAGTAGGAGGTGCAGTAAGGACTCGTGCAGCCTCCTCCTCCAAATCTTCCTCCTCAGAGGGCGATAGTTCCTCTTCTGAGGGGTGACTGGAAAGCTCTAAAGCCTCCAATTCCTCTAAAGAATAAAGGTGTTTTTTCTTTCCTCCGTGAGATGGATCCGTCTCACGGGGCTCTTTCGCTTTCTCTTTATTTTGTTTTTTCTTTTTACGTGCAACCATCTTTTCTTCATGTTCTGCTTCTGACATGCTTTCTTGAAAATTGGATAATGGTCTAGTGCCTGCTTTTAGCTGCCCATCATGTGCTTCCCCAAAACAAAACAAACACAGTAAAAACAAGCAGGCAACCAAATGCACAATAATCAACCCTTCAATGGCAGGATCAAGCCCAAACAGTAGCATGACTATCAGAACTCACCTTATCTGTTACCTTTGTGCCACAGTTCTGAATCCTCTCCAGTCTCCTGAAGGGTCCCCGTGTGCCGTTAATGTCAGTTTCCCGGGGTTCGGCACCACTTGTCGAGCGCTATCACCTTGACTGCAAGAACGACACTCAACAACAGGATTCTTCTGCAGCTATGTTTATTGCACGGCTCATTACAGCAAGTTGAGGGAAGATCCCGAGGAGGAAAAAGGGCTCTGCTTATATATGTTCAGAGGAGTCGTGTCTGTTACTGACAGTTGCAGCCCGCAACGCTCGTAATGGTCACCCCATGACGTGGATCGTGCATCTGCGCCTTGCTGGCTTATGGACAGAAAACCAGTGCCATTTTTGGGAATGGCACCCGTGGCTCTCTACAGAAAAGCATTTCCTTACTGGAAATGAATTATCATCTGAATAGAGACAAACATAATTTCACTGGGTGCCATGGAAATAAGTGTAAATAAAATCCAGGGATAGAGGGATACACAGATAGCTCATGAGGTAGCTGTGAAACAGGATATACATGGACAGAGAAAATGAGATGTGATGTGAACACCTGTGTGTTCAGTTTTAGGTGATTTTTGAGGCATGGTCTTATAGCCTTAAGAGAGGTGGGCCAAACCATTCTGTGTATGGATACATTTTCCTGTTCCATGAAACCCTGGCTGGAAAGCATAATGGCATCTTGAGGGTTTCCTGTGAGAACACATGGAATTTTGTAGGAAGTAACTGAGAATAATGGGGGGGGGTAGATATGTGATGTAGGAATCCTGATATGACAATCAAGAATTTATTTCCCCTAAGTGTCTAGGTTGCCTTCCTCTGTCCATTTTAATCTCCTCAGAGAACTCTGTTTCCCCTGTGTTCCTATCCCTGGACACAGGTAGATGGGTTTCTACAGAGGATACAGTGAGTTCCGTATCTGAGGGTAATTTAAGGACTGTGGGAAACAGGAATTTCCTTAATGGACACTACCTGGAGGTGTAGGATGTGGAAAAAACACATTGTGACTCTGGTGATACATTGATTAAGATTTATGAAAGTCAGTCGAGAACAAAATTGCAAAGTAGCTATACTGGATATCTTTACAACCTAGTGGTGGTAGTCAACATCTTTAGTACATGGACTTAAGATTAATAACTAGAGGAATCTTTGTAAGGTGAAGGCCACATAGTCTGCATAAAATTTATCTAGTCTTAATAGAAATACCTCAAAATTTGGCCAGGTTGCATGTACACCTCTCCACATGCCTAGAAATTTCTGGGTCTCCTCTGAGCACACTGAACTCACCTATCCACACAAAGTCATCACTTGGATTATCTTCGGATCCAATAGATGGCCCTCTGATGGAAGAGAGATCTCTAAGAAAGCTTGTATCTTCCAGAGGTATAAACATTGAAATCTTGGCCCAACTATGCCCACCAGGAGAGTAAAGCAGACCAAGAGAAACTCCACATGAACCCAATGGAAGAAGAAGGGAAGATGGCAATACAAGAAAAAAGAACCAATAATAGAAAGAGAAGCATGGCATAACCAGAATCAAGGAAGCCTACACCAACTAGAACTGAAAAAAAAGCAGAAAATCCAGGAGAGAATGAGTAAAAAAATATGACTTCATAAAAATTACAGATGTCCTGAAAGATAATATGAGAAAATCAGTTAAGGAAACAGAAGAATAATCAAACAAAATATAGGAAGAAATAAAGGAAAAGGCAAGCAAAAATATGCAATAAATGAATAACTCTTAAAAAAAACTAAGGAAAGCCAAGGAAAAAACAAATAGAAGAAGTAAGCAATTCAAACACTTCAAGACCTTATAACTGAAATAGAGACAGTAAAGAAACAAACTGATGGTATGCTGGAAACAGAAAAACAGGGTAAATGATTAGTAACTAGAGATGCTAGAGGAGCAAACATAAACAACAGGATATAAAAGATTGTAGAGAGAATCAGATGCTGGGGAAAAAAAAAAGCTAGAGTAAATAGATTCATCGAACAAAGAAAATCTTAAATCCAACAAATCCTTAAGACAAAATATCCACAAAATATGGGACATGATGGAATAATTCTCATAGAAGAAGGCGAAGAGGCCAGCACAAGGTGCAAAAACATATTCAAAAAAATCATGGAAGAAAACTTTCCCAGGGCATGCTTACGAAAGTAGAAGAAGCATACCAAATATGAAATAGATTAGACCAATAAAAAAATCCCTTCTCCAAATAATAATCAAAACACCTAACATACAGAATAAAAAATATTAATCACAGCAAAGGGAAAAAGTCAGGTAACCTATAAAAGCATGGAAATGCTTAAGACCCGAAGATCCCGGATATATGTTCTGTAAATACCAAGAGCTCATGAATTCCAGCCCAGGCTACTATATCCAGCAAAACTCTCAATTACTACAGATGGATAAATCAAGATATTCAATTTGAAAGCCAGATTTTGACAATCCGTATAGACAAATGCAGGCCAACAAAATAATCTTGAAAGAAACCTCAACCCAAAGATGTTAACTGCACACACAAAGGCAAAAGATAATACCACTTTACCAGAACACCCCCCCAAAAAAAACAGAGCAAATATACTCACAACACCCCTGCCAAAAACAAATCTAAAACAAATTAGATTTGTTATTGGCAGTGTTATTGTGAATATATTTGTCCTGCTTTACCCTTGGTTTCTGGTGTAGTTAGATTATCTGTTGCCTACATTTTTGTGGATGTAGTTAACTACCTTAGGTTGCAGTTTTCCTTACAATACTTTCTGTAGGGCTGGATTTGTAGATACAAATTTGGAAAATCTGGCTTTCTCATTAAATATCTTGTTTTCTCCATCTATAGTAATACAGAGTTTTGCTGGGAATAGTAGCCTGGACTGGCATCCGTGTTCTCTTAATCCAGGACCTTCTGACCTTGAGGGTTTCCATGGGGAAGTCAAGTATAATTTGGATAGGTCTGCCTTTATATGTTACCCATCCTTTTTCCTTCCTGCTCTTAATAGTCTTTCTTTATTCTGCATGCTAAGTGTTTTGATTATTATATGTCGAGGGGTCTTTTTTCTTTGGTCCAGCCTATTTGGGGTCCAGTATGTGTCTTATACTTTCATGGGCATGTCCTTCTTCAGATTTGGAAAGTTTTCCTCGATGATTTTGTTGAATGTTTTCTGCACCTTTGAGCTGGGCTTCTTCGCCTTCCTCTATGCCTATTATTCTTAAGTTTGGTCTTTTCACAGTGTCCCACGTTTCCTGTATGTTTTGTGTTAAGGATTTGTTGGATTTATGATTTTCTTTGGTCGATGAATCTATTTCTTCTAGTTTATCTTCTGCGCCTAAGATTCTCTCTTCAGTCTCTTGCATTCTGTTGGTTATACTTGTGTCTGTAGTTCCCAATTTTTTGCCCAGCTTTTTTATTTCCAGCATTCCTTCGGTTTGTGTTGCCTTTATTTTCTCTATTTCAGTTTTGAAGTCTTGAACCATCCTTCATCTACTTAATTGTTTTTTCTTGGCTTTCTGTACTTTCTTTACTTTCCTTAAAAAAATTTGTTCATTTCTTCCACTTTTTTGTTTGTTTTTTCCTCCATTTCTTTAAGCGATTTTCTCACATCTTCTTTGATGGCCTCTATCATTTTTATGATGGTAATTTTTAAGTCGTTCCCTTCTACTTCCTCTGCTTTGTTGTTGTGTTCCATTCTAGTTGGTGTAGATTCCCTAGATTCTGGTGGTGTCATGCTTGTCTTTCTGTTGTTAGGTGTTCTCTTGTATTGCCTTCTTCCCATAGTTTCTTCCAGTAGGTGTTGGTGGTGTCTCTTCCCTCTCTCTATGGTCCTTCCCCGATGGACTTATGTGGATCTGAGATTCAATATCTGTAGCTCTAGGTGGTCCAAGCTCTATAGAAGGTCTCTCCACAGACAGGGACCTAGGGATGGGGTCAGGGCTGAGGATCCAGTAGAAGATGCCACTAGCCAATGGCTCTAGCCATTGGCTGGTGGAAAAGGACAAAGGCTGAGCTGAAACTTGGGAAGTTTTTGCAGGATAATCGGATCTCACTGGAAACTGGGACTCTCCAGCTGAGGCCTCTTTATTAAGCCAAGGCCCTGCTTTGGGGGTCAAGGATCTTGCTGGTGGGAACTCAGAGTGGACCCACAGAGATAGGCAGATTTCAGGGAGGGGCCTGGGACTCCAGCAGAGGTCTGGAGGTGGGGTCATAGACCAAGTAGGTAGAAATTACGGGTTGTCCAGTGTGGATAGGCAGGTCTCGAATTGCCAGTATTTTATTAAGTATTTTTGCATCTATGTTCATGAGTGATATTGGTCTGTCTCTAAATTGTGTCTTTTTGTGGCTTGGGTAACAAAGTAATTGTAACCTCATTAAAAGAGTTTGGTAATGAACCTTCTGATTCTATTGGGTAAAACAATTTGAGGAGTATTGGTATTACTCTTCTTTGAATTTCTCATACAGTTCTGCACTGAACCCATTTGGCCCTGGGCTTTTGTTTTTGTTTTTGTTTTTTGTTTTGTTTGTTTGTTTGTTTTTTTGGTTGGGAGACTTTTAATGGCTGCTCTATTACATTAAGGGTTATAGGTCTATTTAAATTGCTTATCTGTTCTTGATTTAATTTTTGTAAGTAATATCTATTGAGAAATTTGTCTATTTTCTTTGAATTTTCAATTTTGTGGAGTTCAGGTTTTCAATATTTTAAAACTGATAGAAAGATGGTGATGTGGATTGTCTTTCTTCAAAACCTTATTCAAATTTTTTTACCTTTCTGCTACCATCAGTCATCAGTCCTAGTGCTGTTATTCCATGATATTTTGTTCCAGGGGGTCAAAAGTATTTTCTGGTGTGCAAAGATTTCTCAAGTGTGCAGTGTTGGGCAGAATGTTAGGGCAGGATCCACATGTGGGTTCCTAATCCATGTGTAAGCATTTTTGAAATTATTTTTTCAGGTAGTTTTGGGCTTGAACATCAGTGGGTTTGGGTTTACCAGAAACCACAAGAGGCATAAATGGCAGGACTGAGGAAGCTATGGTGGCTCACCATAGTGCTCATAGAACATTCTTCCCAGCCAAATTCTCTCTGAGTATTCAACTAATCATGGAGACTATACTTTGT